CCCCCAAAACCCCAAAACCCCAAAACCCCACTGTTTGAGAGGAAAGTTGAAATTAATACATCTTGTTCCCTGTAAATGTGATCGGTTCGTAGCTCACTCCTAACGACATGGATTCAGGGGATTGGATGCTGAAACTATGAGAACAGACTTACTTCTTCTGGACCTGTGCTTCATCATTTGCCATCATCTTAGATTTTGATGTCTTTCTTGAGTTAATTCCTATGGTTTTATGAAGAAATCTACCTCTCTTTGTGTAATTAATTCTACCATTTTCATATTGATCTTGATAATTACGAAGAATCTTACTAGCTGTTCTATTACCCGGATTATCTAGGAACCCTTCTTCCTGCATAAACTGGCTGACCATAGGTGTCTTCGCATGTCTTCTCAGTTCCTCCTGGTACGCTATTGACTGATTCAAAGAAGCATAAGCTGCAGGGGTGACGTGATGGTTTGAGAGCAAAGGAAATTCTACCTTTCTGTATGAGTTCTTCACTTCATTATGGTACTTCACATTCAAGGACATCTATAGAGTCAACTTTTTAGAAGCCTACCTTTCTGTTTTGATATCTGTAATCAACAGATTGGTTCAAGTCGTTGTTGATAGTAGGTCTCTGTGTATTCTGCTTAGGTGATCCGCTACTCTTCCTTTTATTAGCCGAAAGACTTTTACTTCTCTTATTAAAAAACTTTTGAGCTTTCTTTAGAGTGGAAGCCATTTTAAATCCTTTCTTATTAAGCTACAGATGAGGTTCAGATCCTACCTTCTTAGGAGATGATACAGCACGCTCAATTTTTATATTAAGAGGTTTTGGAGACCCTCTATTACTCTCTTTCCTAAGACTCTTTTTAGTAAGAAGTCTTTTGCTTGGCCGTCTTTTCTTAAAGCTATCAAATTTGCTCTCAAGATCTTGGAGCCTGTCTATGACTTCCTTAAAGTTATCTTTGTCTTTTTCTTCTTGGGAATGTTCAGATCTAGAGTGAAAATAGCAACTTACTTTTCATCCTTCTTTTCTTCATCTGGCTTTAGCTCACTGATTTCTTTTTGAACATTGCTAAGTGTATCTTCAAGAGATTTAAATCTCATTCAGAAAGAATTAATTTCTTGTTGAACAGTGGACACTTGGGACTGAATCTGATTAACTTCGGTCATTTCTACATATAGAGCTACAGGAAGTACTCTTAAGCTGTTCGATTGCATTCTGAATGCTGCTAACTTGGCCCTCAAGTTGGTCGAATTCGTTCTGGGAAACTAGAGGCTCAGACTCAGAGATCTCTTCAGGTTTGTTCCTTTCCTCAAATTCCTCTATAAAATTCATCCCGTTTTGGGACTGAAGGTGTACCGATTTGGTTGTGGATATTTTGGTTAATTTCTTGTTTCAAATTGAGGATTTTATTATCTAAATATTCACAAAGGAGTGTACTGATTTCCAAAATTGAGGCCTCCTTCCCTTGCTCTAACTTCTTGGCCTGAAATGTTATGAAATCAAGTGTACCAGATCAAAGCTACTTTTGGATATTTGCTCTTGAATTTTTGAAATTTTGGCATCGGTCGATTTCTGAATAAATTAAAATTAGAATTAATAAGCTTGAATAAGATTAAATGCAGAGGAGAAGGCATACAATCATTTGGGAAATTGAGTTTTTATCTGTCTCGAGAGTTCCGTGTCTCTCTTCAATGGCTTGAATAGACTCTATACCATGATAAACTCATTTTAAGTACCCTTTATTTGTTGATCTCGTTGGTCAAGCAACTCCGCAAAGTCCTTGCGGATCTTCTCTTCTGTCTCTTTAGCTTCATGGGAGGCCCAGTCCTTGACTAAATCTTACAAAATGTGTTCTTACCAACTTTCCAGTTAGCGTCTTCTACCATGGACATCTTCTCTCTGAAAATATTGATCTGTGATTTGATATTATTGAAGTTCATATTGACATTCTGTTGGTTATTTCTCTATATTATCCTCGATGCTCCCTCTACAGCATTATTCCAGGACATACTGAAAGGTATTGAATAGCCCAGTCATGGAGGAATCTATGCAATCAGACTATGCACATACGTGATTTGTGGATGGAGGACTCTATAGCCTCTCGTTCAGATAAAAATTTGGAGTCAAGCATGATCTATAATCCTGACATTTCATTTACATATTTTTGGCTAAATTTAAGATCGAGTAGTCAGCTTACTCAGTAGATTTCTCTACTCTGAGAAACTCATTGTGGAAATTAGCGAATCTAGAGGCGATCAGAGAGTAGCTTACCTCAGGTCAACCTCCTGCTTGAACTTGTTGATGACCTTAGTGATCTCTGTAAGCTTGTCAAAGGTTCTGATTAGCATTACTATTTCAAATTTTACCTATAACAATCCTGGATGATCTGTTTTGTCGAAAAGGTCAAGCACAAAGGAATGTTATTTCCAAGTATCTGGAGCTATAACGTTCAGAGGGTGGTTTTCAGGCGTCATATCTTTAGGAACAGGGGCTACAAATTCCTTTTTGCTCATCATATTTTTCAAATAATTATGATTTTTATGGGGTTTTGGGGTTTTGGGGTTTTGGGGTTTTGGGGTTTTGGGG